CAGGGGAAGGGGACTGCCCCACCGAATCAAGAAAAGACTGGGGAAGACTGGGCTCCTTCTTTTAAATATATATATATATTAGCATATTGTTTTAGTATTTCAGCATTTTATAGTGTTGTGTTTTATCATCTGGTTTTGATGATAGATGTGTTTGTTATCTCACTCTTTGATGGAAAGGGCGATATAAAATAAAATAAAATAATAATTATTATTATCATTCATATTTTTATAATAATAATAATAATAATAATAACTCGATTGAAATGTAGGACAGGCCCTGGAAAAGGAGGATATCTGGTCATCCTAGATGGAGAACATTTTGGAATTCCTCCTGGACAGAAGGCTGAAATGTAGGGCGTGTCCTGGAAAAAGGAGGACATCTGGGCATCTGAATGGAGGACATTTTGGAAATCCTTCCGGACAGAAGGCTGAAATATAGGGAATGTTCTGGAAAAAGGAGGACATCTGGTCATCGGAATGGAGGACATTTCGAAACTCCTCCTGGACAGAAGGCTGAAATGTAGGACATGTCCTGGAAAAAGGAGGACGCCTGGTCACCCCGAATGCACCTTGACAGAAGGCTGGAAATGTAGGATATGTCCTGGGGGAAAAGGAGGACACCTGGTCACCCTGGATGGGAGACATTTTGGGAGTCCTGGGCAGGTTGAAATGTAGGGCAGGGCCCAGGAAAAGGAGGAGATTTCACCTTGAATGGAGGACATTTTGGAGGGCGGGGCGGTTGAGATGTAGGACATGTCCTGGAAAAGAGGACTGGTCTGGTCACCTTGGTCCAGTGCCTCCAGGGGCATCCTTCCTTCTCTCTCAGTCCTCCAGTCAGTCCCTGGCTCTTTTGCAAGGCAAGGCAAGGCCTCCGCCTCCCCCTCCCTTCTCCCAATTTGGGCGACCAAGGACCCCCACTGGCGACCTCAAGGGTTAGGCTTAGGCTTAGGTTTAGGCTTAGGGTTAGGGAGGCAATACTAACCTGTGGCCGCCAGAGGGCGCCGGTAGAAGACAAGGGCGCTCCTTCATTTCCCCGGGGAACCAGCAGAGGGCGCGCGCTGCTTGGAATGGCTGATGGGAGACCCATTCAATGCCTCCAGCAGGGGGCGCCCTTTGGCAGAACCCACCTTGGTCCCTTTTTTTTTTAGGGGGGGTCCTTTAAAGCCCCTTCCCTATGTGATGGAAGCCCTAAAAATCCACAAGGAGGCACCAGATTTTGGAAGCCGAGCAGTGACCAGATGTCCAGGAGGACAAGGCAGCAAAAAATGTAGGACGTCCAGGAAAAAGGGAGGGCACTCCAAAATAACAGCTAAAAACTACTGTCTATTTTAACATTGCTCTCTGTTTTAGTTACCGTAATAGCCATCTATTTTAACATTTGTAATAATTTAATTTCTTTTTTTTAAAGCACCTCTAACCTATGTTTTTAATTATACTGTCCTTTTAATATAGTGAAGCCGCTCTGATGAGTCCCAGTTCTGGGAAAAGAGTGGGATGCAAATAAATAATAATAATAATAATAATAATAATAATAATAATAATAATAATAATACGCTCATATAAATATGAATTAATTTCAGATGGTTTACTTCCATCTCTATTACATATATTGTATTTTATTACACATCAACCATATTTTTCTTTGTTCAAATGCCATGTTGGCTTGCAATATATTAACAGGACTCTGAGCAAGACAAAGCCACAATAAACTACAGTTCCCAGGATTCCCTAGCACTCAGCTAGGGCAGTTAAAACAGTCTCAAACGGGATTATTTCTGCAGAATGGATTGGACTTAATGTGAGAGAGGGATCTTGGTGTCCTAGTGGACCACAAGTTGAACATGAGCCAACAGTGCGATGCAGCAGCTAAAAAGGCCAATGCGATTCTGGGCTGCATTAATAGAAGTATAGTATCTAGATCAAGGGAAGTAATTGTGCCACTATATTCTGCTTTGGTCAGGCCTCACCTGGAATAATCCTGAGTCCAGTTCTGGGCAACAAAATTCAAAAAAGATGTGGAGAAACTGGAGCATTTCCAGAGGAGGGCTACCAAAATGATGAAGGGTCTGGAAACTATGAATCCCTATGAGGAGAGACTTAGGGAGCTGGGAGAAGAGAAGGTTAAGAAGGGATATGATAGTCCTGTTTAAATATTTTAAGGGGTGTCCTGTTGAGGAGGGAAGCAGGCTTGTTTTCTGCTGCTCCAGAGACTAGAACACAGAACAATGGATGCAAAGGACAGGGAAAGAGATTCCATCTAAACATTAGGATGAATTTCCTGAGGATAAATAAGAGTTGTTTGACAGTGGAATACACTCCATTGGAGATTTCGGTGGAGTCT